AGAAAGCCAACATGGACAGGGCAATATCTTAATTTCCATAGTCACTGCCCAATTCATTACAAACATGGATTAATAAAGGGCTTATTCAATAAAATCAATCGTATTTGTACTAGTGATACTAGAGAGAGACGAAGCTCTTAACTCATACGTTAATAAATAATGGTTATTCATTGAAGTTCATAACACTGCTGAAAGGGTTGCAATACGATTAGATCTATGACATTTCTGGCATCCAAAAAGCGAGTTTACATTACGTTACCATTTAGAGGCGACACAAATAGTCTCGTGTTGAAACGGAAACTTAAATTAGCTTTCAATCGGACATTTTATACAGCCCAACTTTTCATTATCGAAAAGACAAGGCCTATGTTTCACCAAAAGCTCAAACAGAACGAAAGCGATTGTGTCTACTAATTTATGTGTATGTGTAGTGTCTGTTATTATATTAAGCCCAAATACCTTATTCTAACTTTCGGACATCTCAATCTATTCATCCTACTTGAGTCACGTTCTAACCTTGTTAATTATTTGCTTGTCAATCTTGACTGTTTTTATATGAGCGCGTAGGAGTATGTACACTTCTTATCCCATTACTCCCACATGTCTGTAACTTACTTTTGTGTGCCTATAAATACTGATTAACGCTTGACTAAGGGAGTTGGCTCACCCGCCAACTCCACTGCGCGTCGTTTCTCTTCTCTCTGTTCTGTTCGCTTCGTATACAAAATATATGTATTCAAAAGTCCATTCTCGTTATTTGACTTATTTAATTCCGTTATAGGCTAGCGCGATTTAAGTCAATGATTATACACGAGGATAGGCGATAACAATCAGTCATACGATCAAATCGGAGTCAGATCACGGGCCACTAAAGTGGAGAGCCCTTCGACAACATCGTCCGATCTAAATGTAGACAAACCAAAGGGTTTCCACATATGCACGATAACACGTACATAGGGAGGAGCAGTCGTGATTTGCAATTAAGGGTGGGTGAACACATACCGAAATGGCTGCAGAAACAAACGCATTCCAATGGTCAAATAAGATCATGGGATAGACAGATATCATCCTCCATTGCGAAACATTTGACTGAGACTGGTCATAAGGTTGACATCAAGTCAGCACTTGCAGTGTTATACAAAAGCCTTCAAGGACGTAAACTAAGATTTATTGAAGCCTTGGCTATACGGAAATAGAAACTCCTTTTATGTGTTCAAAAGCAATTTGTCCCTATACTTAACCTACCCTGGTTGCACTGATTTATTATCGAGAGAGGTAATCACACTGTTTTTATGTGCTTTAATATTATTTTTTTCTCTCTTATGGCTTGCCTTTAACCTGTCTAATTGACATTTAATTTTCATATAAAAATGTCTTAGCAAGTATATGTGTGATCAGATTGTTCGAAATATATTGCACGAATATATCACATAATTCTGATAAACTTCGTCTTCTTATTGCATTATCAAAATTCATCAAAGGGATTAATTGTTTTAGAATTTTTTGGGGATTGACGTCAACTGGAAAAGACATTAAAATACTGGAAGTAAACAAACTAATCACCGAAAACTCTTGAATTTCATAATTATTACAATTTCATTTTTTTATCTGATGACCACTATTTTTTCTCCCGGTTCCTACACAATAGTATATTCTTGCTACATCATTCCCATGAAGTTAGATGTTACATCCCGTAACTATTCTAAAGGAAGTTATTTAATGTGAAATACACTAGTAATTATTTTGATGAGTAAAAAATAGTGATTTAAAAACTCGTGATACTGGAAAGAATAGAAATGTAGTCTAAGAAGTGATAATTAGAATCTGATAAGGTTTATCAATACTATTATAATTGTCGATACTTCATAGCTGACTGAAAAATTATCTGCAAGTGGAGGAAATTTGTTTAAAACTGTCTGAACTTTTCTACAAATTCCCTATTCAATCAAAATTTTAACCTACGTATTGTGAGAATTCACTCAGTTAAAACAAATTCCGTAAATATTGGAGCAAATGTAAACACAGATGTTTTATTATAAAGAATATTGTTGAGACTGAAATTTATGGACAATCTTTGAGTGACTCTATAGTGACCTTGAGAATGTCCACCAATTTTCTAAGCCTAAATGAGGGTTATAAAGCCGTGTGAAGAACAAAGATTATGATTTACAGTTGGTGGTTAGGGTTAAGAGTTAGACTTAGGTTTTTCATCGTGAACTGACATCAGCTGAAATGCCAAAACACTGTTTCGACAAATGGGTGAATGAATTTAGAGTAAAAATCCAAGACCTGTTATCCTGAATGTGGTTGATTCATTCATAAATTATAGTCTCGCAGTTTTGACAGCTATTAAATACTTCCATGTATTAGCAGTTATTTTTTCTCTCCTTCATCGTGCATAATATGTTTCACTGTATCTTTACAAGGCGTCGATACAATACTTCATCTTTCCAATTGTTATGTTTCATTTTTAGCTTACCTTACGATTGGCTATTTGTAAAGTTTTATGAGTGAACTAGGTAATAAGAGGATCGACTCATTTAAAAAAGAATAGTTGGCTAATTGTAACGTTCTTTGTCTCTAACGTTATATTTATTCTGTCTGTTAATCACACCTTGTTGATCGTTTTCAACTAATTTGAACTTCTACCTTCTCTGTTGTTTATATATAGGATTCTGAAGAGTATTAAACACGATTAAGCTCACATCTTAAATGTTATTTTATTAAGAAAGTAATCACAACTATCATAACTTATCATTTATAATTTAATATATCAATATATGTATATATTAATGACTAATAAAAGAGTAAATGCCAACCAATAATTCTCTGTTTGTTTTTCCATGATTTTATACGCATAACTTAATTCTGTGTTAAGTTCAGAAGTTTTATACAAACTTAATTACTATGAGTATAGATATGAATAATAGATCTGAAAACAGTTGTGATACATATCTGATTGGCTTTTTTTACGTTAGTTTTCATTTCTATATAGTTTATTTTCCATTATTAAGGTTAACATAAATAGACAAATATACGGAAAATAAATAGCTGATGCTATACAAAATTAATTTAATTAGTATTATGTTGTCTAGGTTTAAGTGATGATTGAATTCCTACGATCAAATTGCAGCATAGTCACAAGTTTAAATGACTGAATTTTTTGATACAGTTTCTTTGACATTAGATAGTTGAAGGAAATCAATAAGAAACCGTAGATTTCAAGTTTATGAAAGTTGTTACTCATCATTAAAGTATGATTTTAGAAGAAATGGTTGAAAACCATAGTTGCATTACATACTACTGATCATCAAATGAATCACTTTTAATGAAAGCGTTAAAACTATGGCTACAGAATATTTTGAAACAGTATCTAAAAACAATGTTTCAACAAACGAAAATAAAATCTTTGATCTTATATATATATATATATATATATATGTATATATATCTTCGGTAAGGTCGTGGATGTGGGGTGGTAAAAAGTCCCACATTAGGACGAAACAGCTATCTAGTGCTTCATGGTTCTCAGTAGAAATTCAACTTATGTCGGTTCATGCCATTGATAAGAAAGAACCGTTGAACGAGATAAACAGCACGCCAGGTTAAGGGTTTAGAATAAAGTATAATCAGGAGCTGGCTTTCATATTGACTTAGTTGTAATGTCCAGGAAAACTTATTGGCAAGACGATATTTTATTCAGTTCCAATATTACATATTTATATATCAGCACAAAAAAACAGGATCTTAACCACTTCTGAATAATAACTGATGCAATACAATGCCCCATTTCGAAATTCCCTCTAGCTTTAAATTAACTGAACTGAAATTATTAGCAGTCCTACGTGTACAATAATCTGGAGGCTGAGGTTTAGACGGACTATAATTTTTGAGTGAGGGGTGGCTGAGTAAACCTTAGATATCAGTAACGATACAGTAAGAACTAGCAAATTCCTTTCTAGGCTCAGAATGCTTGAAATCGTAGGACCATTACTTGTAGTCTAATTCAGAAACCTTAAGCGAAGTGGTGGTATGGTTTGAAGTCTAATGTAGAAACCTGTAAGGATGTTTTGAGTTGTATTTTCATGATATTTCGTCATAATTAGTTTTCATGACCTATTCAATTTAGAACGCAAGTTAATGTGAGCAAAATCTATCATACTTTCAGCAGTGAGTACTCATGCACATCCACTCATTTGCACTGAAACTACGTAACGCACTTTATCTATATGATCTTACTATTACGTAAAATACATTCTTACAAACTCTTGAGTATATTAAAGAACGGGGTAAGTTTGTAGTGTTTGTTGGACGCATTGCGGTTTTGAAAGTTTTCAGTCTTTTATGAGAACTGGGATATTCATGAGAAATCGTACTAAGTCAAACCTAACAGCTTTAAAAATACCCAGGTATTTCACATTATGGTAGCAAGAAATATGCGCCACAAGAAATACCATCCAGTGCTTATTCAACTGTTAGTGGCTAGGACAGTGAATAATCTAAAACAATGCGAACCTAGGTTGTGAATTATTTATGGATCCCATTGAGTCATTTAGTTGAATTAAGTACCAGTTGTTCAGTACGTAACAAGTACGGTTTAGAAATTCACTAAGAATGAGGAAATTAATAAAAATCTTTGGAACAGAATATTAATCGTTTATATTAACAGCTGAAATTTTGAAAATTATATTAGTCTTTCACATTTTAGTGTCACTACACAACTCAGCTGTTAAATAAAATTTGACAAATGATCAGTGATATTCACTATACAAATCGCCATATCAAAGTTTTCTATCTAATTGTGCCAGAATACAGTTACTAGTATACATGTTAATGTTAATATAAATAGAAGGGATGGAGAAAGGAGTAAATATTTATTATTTATGTTGTACAGGTGCAAAATAATTTCTACATCATATACAACTATTATCGTGTTATAATAATAAAATATAAAAATGCAGGAAAAAGTATGAATATGAAAAAAGTAGTAGAAATTTTGATCAACCCCTACCATTTGGAGGCAACCATGGTGGGCGGCTATTCCTAACGACTGAATTGGAAAGACCTGTACTGAAGTTTGGAGGATGTACAGAATACGGATTAGCGTATGGATGACTACTAGATTGACGATAGACAGGTCCACCTCGATGATAAGCATCATTTCGAGGAGGAGGACGATTAAAAGACCCAGGTCGCCAATTTGGTGGAATGTTGTTATTTACTTTGCCACAATCTGATCTAGATGAATACTGTAAGTGGCTACCTCGACTGCGCTGATATCGTGGTAGTGAATTCATAACCATCCTGTTCATCGGTGAATTTGAATAAAAATCTCTACCAGTTTCCTCCCTATCTAACGAACTGTCTCGAGCATAGTACTGCATAGCTGCAATGGCATTAAAACGTCCACGATGTTCATCGGTGCGAAAACTTCCTCGTCCTCTACCTCTGCCACGCTGAGGAGGTTGAAGATAAACTGGAGGTGGCATTTTAACCTTCAAAAGCAGAAAAAACTCCTTTTATTGATCGCAAGTTTGGTAAATGATATTTAAAAAAATCAAATTGAGAATACGATGAGTCTTGTAAGTCACATACACGTTCGGAACCAAATCAGTATTTCAATTAAACTAGAGTATAACATCCAGAAGACGTTACCGCACACTATTCTCAATTGTTAATCTTTACAAACATTTGTCATAAAAGGTTAGAAATCTACTTTTGATTATCCGAAAAGAAACGAGTTTATTACTTGATTACTAAAATACTTTCATGGTTCATAGGAATTGCAAGGCTTGAAAACTGCGATCCCGAGAAAACACCGAGACCCTCAGAAAGGCGAAAGCCTGTAATTGGACATCTTAGATGACATTTACTTTATTTAAACATAAGCATTAGTGCAAGAAGTTGATTTATTTATTTATTTGAACACATAGATATTGGTACAGGGGGCACCAAATATATATGCGCCACACAAAACAATGATAATTTGAAGAGAAGGATAAAAAAAAGGTAATGAACGTGGGGAATTATTAAAAAAAAGAGAGAGAGAACAACGATGGGGAAAACGGAAAGGTACAATTAGAAGAAATCTTTCAGTTAAGGAAGATACAACCACTTTTTATGAAGAAAGTAAAAGAAGGTTACAGCAGGATCGCCATTGGCTTCTATTCTGAGCCATATCTGATAACGTCTCTAGCCACTGCGTTACACCGTCTCTCGGACCCCAAACAGGGAGTCGTGAAGGACCAACAGAAGCTAGCCCTTTGCAGCTTTCTTTCATACCACGACACCATGTCATATACTGACCACCTCTCCGCTTTTTCCAACCAGTCCCAGAGTCGGCAAATAATGCACGACGAGGAATTCTCTGGGACGACATTCGTAGAACATGTCCAAGCCACCGAAGCCGGTGTTTCAAGATGGTGACACCAATTTCATTACTGACATGGTGTTGCCGCTGAATGTCAGTAATCCTTCGGAGACAACGATGATCAAACATACAGAGTCGTCTAACATCCTCAATTCAAAGAGGTCAGGTTTCACAAGCATAGAGCAAAACTGCTCTCACCGACGCGTTGTAGATCCGACCTTTTACAGCCAGACTAACATCACGAAGGCGCCAAAGATGGCCCAGATTGGCATAAGCCGCTCTGGCTTTCACTATACGTGCATTGATCTCATCACTCACGCCACCACCAGCACTTATGTAACTACCTAGATACACGAACTTCTCGACTACTTCTATCTGCTCACCACCCAGGGTGAGTACAGGATTAGAATTCTTCCAGTCTTGTAGAAGTACTTTACACTTCGAAGGTGCGAAGCACACACCGTACCTACGGACACTGATTGCCAACTGATTAAGTGAGGATTGCATGGCTTGGGCATTCTCGCACAGTAAGACAATATCATGTGCATACTCAAGGTCGAGAAGTCTTTCTCCAGTCAACAGATCCACACCACCATTACTTACATCCATCAGAGCTGTTTCCAGAATGTCATCGATGGCAAAGTTGGAGATGAATGGTGAGATTGGGCAATCCTGCTTAACCTCACTGCTTGAATGGAATAGTGGAGAACGGTGGTTGTATGCCCTCACTCTGCCTGAGGTGTTTGAATATAGGGCTTTTAGGATGTTAATAAACTTCTCAGGCACACCCTTCTTCAATAGACAATCCCAGAGAACAGTTCTGTCCAACGAATCGAAGGCAGCCCTGATATCAAGAAACACTACGATTGTTGGGCTTTGGTAAGTATGGCGGTGTTCTAACACTTGGCGGAGGTTGAAGATATGATCAATACATCCTCGACCAGAAAGAAACCCAGCCTGCTCCTCGCGAGTCAATCCTTCTCGGGTTCTGAACAACCTACGAAGTATGACGGAAGCCAATAGCTTGGACGCAATCGGAAGTAGACTTATTCCCCGATAGTTGTTACAGGAACGACGTGAACCCTTTTTAAAGATAGGGACAACTATCGACTCATTCCATGACGTTGGTACACTCTCTAGCTCCCAGACCTTTGTAAACAACGTCGTCAGTCCCTTAGTCAGAAAATCACCACCATCTTTAAAAAGAGCCGGAGGTAAGTCGTCTGGGCCCAGTGATTTGTAGCGCTTCAAGAGTTGGAGTTCCTTGCGGACTTCCGCCTCATTTGGTGGATCAGTCGTCACCGTCCATGGGGGGCAGGACAGTCTGACCGATGTTGCCGGAGCAGCAGGCCAGTTGAACTGCCCTTCGAAAAATTCGGCCCATCGTCCAAGACGTCGATGGATGTCAGTGATTGGCGGTACGTCATCTTCGCAGATTGTTTCACTCACCCCAGACTTCTTGCCGCCAGTGGCTCGGATGAGTTGGAAGAGCTTCCGGTAATTACCAGATGCAGCTGCTGCTTCCAGCTCATTAGCACGCTCCGACCACCAGGCTTCACGGTCCTTACGCAAGCTTTGCCCGATTTCATTACGTAACATCCTTCGTCTGTGGTCAAACTCGCGGTCACCCGGAGTAGACCGACGGGCTTCAATGAGTTGTAAGGAACCAGAAGAAACCCAGTGCTTGTAAGCGGGACGTTTCGCGAACCCACAACAGACTTGACCCGCTATTTTCATGGCGTCATGCAATTGCAACCAATGCTCATCTATACTTTTCGGTGGAATGGTAGCTAGCCTAGAAGCTAGCTCGGTTCGGTACTTACTAGTGACAGAAGTTGCAGCCAGCTTGCTAACATCAATCCTTTGGTGGCGGTCACTTCGTTGTCCACTGAAAATTAAGGTAAGATTGGCGCAGACCAGAGCATGATCAGATTCCAGATAGGTACTCCAAAAGGAGCGGCAGTCTTTTACACAACCACGCCAGCGGTAGCTCATCGCGATGTGATCAATCTGAGGCCAGGCTTGAGATGCAGAAGGAGGACGCCAGGTGGCACATCGGCGATGACTGTTCCGAAAGTTAGTGCTAGCCAGAAACAGGTTGTGGTGTGTGCATAGTTGCAGTAGACGTTCCCCGTTATCTGTCCTGCGACCAACGAGTCCCCATCGGCCACTTAAACGACTCTCTTCTGTGCCTAGACGCCCGACCTGAGCATTCAAGTCTCCGGCTAGTACTACAATATCTGTCGAGCGCACTTTCCGGAGAAGAACAGTTAACTGGTGGTAGAACTCAGACTTGATTGCATCCGGGCTGCAATCTGTCAGGGCATAGGCAGAGATGACGAAAAGACATCGTTTCTCACGCCGATTTCTTCTCACTTTGATGGAACTTTCTAATCTAACAGCACATAACCGACTGTTAATGGGGATCCAGTCGACTAGTGCTGCCTCAGCTCTAGCGATTAGTGCGACACCAACGCCAGCAAGACCAGACGAAGATGCCACAGCGTACCCGGATAAACGCACATAAAACAAGCTTTTTGAAGCGACAGATGGAGAGCGAACTTGTAGTACTTCACCAGAGTCTTGAATACGGGTCTCTGATAGACAACACACGTCAATATTAAGACTTTCCAAAGACATAGCCAGCCCTATCTGTTGTCCGACCTGCATAAGTGTGCGAACGTTGAAGGCAGCCAGTTTGAATGGTGCACGTGGTTTCAGAAAAACTGCTTCAGTACTCATTTTCGGTAGTAACATACAATTTTCAACCAGCCACTGACTCGAGAACGTTTAGATAAAGCTGAGTTTTCACCATAGGCGAGCTGCTGTCTGAGTCGAAACGGATACAAAAAGTAGAAATAGGAGATAGTGAATAAATGACGTAGTAAATAATAATAATAATAATAATAATAATAATGATAATAATAATAATAATAATAATAATAATAATAATACCAGTCATTTCAATGCTAGTCGGAGAGAAACGAATATTTTTTATAAGCAGATAGTTCATCATGGTTTTAGTGTGTGGGCTGAGATACTGCCCGGGTGCCCAAACCGAAGCAGGTGGTTTTCTTAGGGGGCCACACCCCAAGCCTTTGACCTAAAGGTCTAGTCCACAAGGCAGTGGAGCATCGTGAGGAGATGCAGTCCCATGGAAGCCGGTGACCAAAAGTTGGTTCATACTCCATTTGTTCCCGCAGGATACTGGAGCCCATGTGCACCATTGAATTGGGATCCGGTTATAGCGCCGGACATTCGCTTTTCGTCCTCTCATTTTTGTAAACAACACCCCCGCCACGAGAAGGCAGTGAGTAGGACTTCCCTGGCAGAGGCTGTATACGCGTGGCCGTGTGAGAGTATTTCGAGAGGGAGGGTGAACCCTCCCCGCTCTCGGCCATACCAGGGCATTTTGGGGCTGGTGCAAGGAGGCACCAAATAGATATGCACCACATAAATCATTCGATTTGTGTGAGGGCTGGGATATTGCCCAGGTGCCCGAACCGAGTAAGTGGTTTCCTTAGGGGGCTACAGCCCGAACCTTTGATCTAAAGGTCTAATCCACAAGGCACTGGAGCAACATAAGGAGATGCAGTCTCATGGTAGCCAGTGACCAAAAATGGGTTCATACGCCATTTGTTTTCTTAGGATCCTGGAGCCCATGTGCATCATTGGTTTGGAATCAGGGTTTTCCATATCCACCAACCCGGTTAAAGCACCAGACATTCGCTTTTCATAAACAACTCCACCGCAAGGCAGTGAGTAGGACTTCCCTTGCAGTGACTGTATGCACGTAGCTATGTGAGAGCATTTCGATAGGGAGAGCGGACTCTCCACACTCTTGGCCGTACCAGGGTATTCGGGGACTTAGATGACATGGCTTGAAATTAAACCCATTTACTTTTTACATTTTGTCTCTTAAGTGTTTTCAGCCGACTGTTTTACCTTCCCGAATCATAGCATCTTATTTATCTTTATAAATTCCTGTTGCGAGATGTATCAACTTGTACCAACGTAGATGTGTAAAGCAATATATTGACAATAGAATACCTTACACGTCCAAATAGTTTATACTTTATGTGTCCAAATTCATGCGCTAAATTGTGAACTACACATACCGTGTATGATCTCTCGAAAACGTAAAAATATCTGTATCATGGATCATCAAACCTCGAATCGTGTTACAATTAATACAATGGATTGGGACTTAATGATCCATATTTTTGACTTTAGTCTTATTTTGAAAATCAATTTTCAAAGTAGTCACTAAGACAATACTTAATGATTGCTTCATGTTTCTGGCTACCTCCACTCACAACTATCTACAGTCGCACCCCGATAGTCCAATCGCTTATTTGATTTACGAATGTTTTAAAAATGAGTCATTTTAAAAGTGATGGCTTTGCCTCCACTGACTTCCGTAAAAACACTATGGAATAAGATAAACAGAATTACACTTTATAATGTACACTAAAAAAGTATTTTTGAATTCATGAACATCTAGCCCTGATACCTTGGCTTAAATGTTTTTCACCTATTCTACACTTGCGATACATACGGAGAAAAAATTGGGGGAAAACAGGACGGAAAACAGTCTACTATACAAATTTGTGTCACATGGGGACGACAATCGATCTTAATGAATAGAAGCTTGTCGGAAAAATCCAGCATAAAAATATATGGAAGCTTACGGATTCAAGTAACTTGGAAGGAAAAACAAAGCCCTTTGGATATTGAGGATCTGAAAAATATGTTGATACAGCTTCAGAAACCTTTAAATCAGGAACGTGACCTGGGACTGCACTAGGTACACGACTCCCAGGCAAGTAAGCCGTTTTGTTAGGCCAGATTAAACCACTGATTCCAAACGTAACACGTGGATCAATTGCAGATGCCCAAGTTGGTATGATTTGTTCTTCCGAATCATTTTTCTCAATGTTTTCAGGTGATAATTTGTATAGAGCATGCAGCAATGGACCAGCAGAATGATCAGCTCTACAAAACAACTGATCTGAACCACGAACATTTCTTTCGATCTCTTCTTTGGTTAAAAGATTTCTTCGAGCATCTAAAGCTTTCAGCAAACGAACCTCATCAACAAACGGTAATAAAGCTACACCCATCCACAGATATCGTTTGCCATTCAAGTCTACTTTGAAGTCTGTTGGGTAAAAATCAATTATAGGAGAATCGGGGTCGGTCATTAAGTTTTGCCACGCTGGAGGGACGTGACTACGAGAGTCGGCCGGGAACACGCTCATAAGTTGTTCCAGTGGTCTAAACGGTTTTGTTTCTTTTTTTGAAAAGTCAACATCGAGTTCTGTGATTTTGGAGAAATCACTAGCAAACGGAGCATAATGATATGGGAAATACCAATCCCATGAAGCACAACCTTGGTAATAATAGGCTAAGACCCAGCATAAACCAAGGGCATATTCCTGACCAACTTTGATACAGAACCCAGGTGCATCTGTCGGATCAACTCCAAATTTAGATCGATAATATCGTGATCTCCATCCATCTTCCCAAAACCGTACTTCATCTGCAGCATCCATCATCTCATCCTCATCGTCGTGATGATTACCTGATCTGTTGTTGCGACCAGACGAAACACATTGTGGACTTGTGTTGTTATCAGAAATAATCCGAGGTATTTTCGGAAGAATAGTGGAATTATTCACATTATTTGAGGCTCCGTTTTCAATAGGTTTATCGCGTTTCAGCATAGCTTTCAGTGCTGTTGCTGCCTCAAGGTTATTTAGATTTCTATCCACCCAATTAACACTTTCTTGACATCTACTCTGATAACGTCGTGCAGCTAATAACTCATCAGCAGAAACAACTTGATTTGTATAGTGACCTTTGGGGTGTGCTATTCCATGACGTCCTCTTAGGGGAATAGGTTCCATAAAACCAGATTGGGACACTTCAAATGATGGGCGGTGACCCAATCGTTGTGGAGCGAACCCACGTTGGTTTTTATCATAACCATTTCCAGATGAATGTTGACGCTTTCTATTACGAAACTGTAGTTCTGATTCACGACGATTTTTGAAGATCTCATCCTCCATCTTTCCCAAATCGACCATAATGAGTTGGACACGCTCTAAATTGACTCGTCCACTATCAGTCAACCACCCTCCCGTTTTCTGAACTGTTGACTTGTAGATTTCAATCAAACGATCAATCGCTCCTTCGCGGATTTCCAAACTCGGAAGATGAGGGAGGAAGTCATTTCCAACGAAAAAGCACATAAAAACCCAATCGTCAATGACTCGTTCGAGATCCCATTCAAATGTAATGCCGGCCAACTTCAGATCTTCTGCTAGATATTGTCTCAGAACATTCAAGCGAATGAAGATGAAATCCTACAAAAATAAAGATGAAAAAGAACGAGGATAAGCGTTGAAACCTTGAAAACAATAATCATTATATCTAAAACAATCCACAACTTACTTACAGTGACTTATTAAAACATGTTTGAGGAAGCACTGAATATAAAATGATAAACAGCTTATACACATAGAACGAGCACTAGTAATATATGAAATTATTTAGTACAGTAAGGCTTTCCAAAAAGCCACTTTTTGAGGGGACACTTATCTATTCAACTAACTTCATTCAACTGAAAAATACGCTGAACAAGTATTTTGAAAGACTTTGAGATGCTAACATTGCCTACTATCGAGCAAGTAAGAGTCTTTCTAAACAACTGGCAACGATGGGACACAAGCTAGTCGACTAGTGTATCAGTCGTTTTTGACAGACCCGGGTCGACCAATACCCTAACCCAATAATCTTATTCCATTTAGCCAAACCATGCAGCGAGATAATATCACTTATTCGCCAAATAACGAACGCTATCGATGAAACGTTTGAAAATGAGCGAAATTTTCGCGATATCTAACAAATCCAGTATGTTTGATTACATTACACACTGAGCTAATTAGTGAACAAATATTTAAAGGAAATTAGAAAAATGGACATTAGTTGTGCTGATGGTTTAATTGGTGACACTTTAGTGTGGCCCTTCATTTTGACGTCAATTAAATCAGATGTTGTCGACGGGCTCACCACTTTTGTGGCCCTGTATCTGACTCCAATTGAATCGTATGAACGTTATTGAAATATACATTTAGCCAATCCTCGCATATAATTGTCGAATTAATCCGCGTTAGTGAATAACGGAATTAAATTAGTCAAATACGAGAATGGATTTCTGAATACATGTATTTTGTACACTCATTGTTCTGATAGACAGCCAGAAGAATGAAGCGAAAAGAGAGAGCGAAACGAAACGACGAGGGGTGGAAAAGGCATGTGAGCCAACTTGATTTAATCAAGCGTTAATCAATATTTACAGTCACACAAAAATAAACTACAGATATGTGATGAGTGGGATAAGATGTATACACACACGCTCATATAAAAAGTCGGGGTTGATAAGCGAATAATTAACAAGGTTAAAACGTGACTCAATAAGAATGAATAAATGGGCCTGTCCAGAAGCCAGAATAGGTCACGTGGGCTTAACATAGTAACTGACACTACAAAACTTCAGAAATGAGGTTCTTTAAACATATTAAGCTGCTGGAGTGCATGCTTTTTTATCTAGAAATTTATTAATTGTAGTGTTCGAACGCACTCAATTACTGTGCGATTCTCGTTTGCAAGATTCGCTGAAGTAGGTAATTCTGAGAAATAAACTCAGAATGAAGTAACTCAGTAAGCTATCACCGAAAAAATTTACTAATCGAATCATTGTACATCTTATAATACTTTCAAGTGAATACATGCATAAGAGTTATATTTAAATACTTAAAACCAAAAGGAGATAGTGACTTGCAAAAAGAGGATTATTAACAGATTGACTTTATGACTCTACAGATTTGTCACTGCTGATTTGTGTAGTTGTAAATCGTCAGTAGGTTAAAATACTACTAATGTACAAAAGCCTACTTTATGAAGAATATTATATGACATTATCATTAAAAAATGAACTCCTGTCTGTTGATTTATATACGATATAATGTAACAAATGTGAATTTTAAGTGACAATAATGAATAATAAACGTTAAAGTCATATTCTATTGACATCCTGAAATAGCTGTGAAACATGTGGGCTGACTTTTGCGTGTTGTTTTATGGCAACTAACTCACGAAACAAAGGTTAACAAAAACAACTAGAGTAGAACTAAAAAAACACAAATTAAGTCATCTTTAAATGAATGAGCATACCACATCTCCTGAAGGTAGTGGAGGAGGGCGTTCGTTTGGATCTTCTTCTTTTGGAGCACCTACACAGTCCTCCATCTCATGACCGATCTGGCCACACAAATCACAAGGTTTTGGTTGGTTTGGTTTAAATTCCTCACGAATAATAGTAAAATATGGTTCATGTGTGGCTAATCCAAGCATTATAAGGTCAGCGTCAGCGCCACATAAACAATGTTTCGTATTGGCGTCATGAGTTGGATTATTCCTCTGTCGTCTGATAAAATCCATGATTTTATGTTCACCTTCACCAGGAACATTTGCGTCACTCAAGAATACCTTAAAATAATGAACAAAATGTAAACCATTAATTGATTCAATGAACTTGAAATTGAAAATCTTAGAGACCACTAAAAACCATCTCCCTACAAAACTCTATACTGGCCTAAAATCATTCAAAAATGATTCGATCGTATCTGTCACCTTGACGTGGCGGTCGGGTTTGCCTGATGTTACGACTCAACTGGATTATATTGGGTGGAACACATGTTCCTCTATGTCTTATCACGCAGGGAGGGTCGGCTGAAGAACAGTAGGACAGAAAGCAGCAACTTAAAGTTCGAGGGCGAAGTCGTACTGCTGACTGTACAAGGATATGATAGCGGGTATTTCTCTTCGACATCTAGCATCTGTTGTGAAGATACGTTCTCACAACAAAACAAGTTAGAAAAGGTCGACCTTAAAAATGCTAGACCACATATTATCCACACGAATTTCCATCTCCAGAGATAAAGTCTTTCGAAATATAAAGCTGACACATTGAAAGCTTCATATGTGAAGGCTGTAAGTAAATAACCTTAAGTTTTCCGTTGGCCTCTGTGGTCGCAGTTGCAGATCTTTAAGATCACCTTTAACCTTGTTTCTTTTTTAGATCCCTCAAGAAGCAATATCCTACCACACCACAGTGTGGGGGATTGAAAAGTGATAACTGCCACCATACCTTTAACAGCACCCGAGATCCCTTGCTCATGACCAAAGCTTTTAATATCGAACCCTATGTCAAATAAGTCAAAAGATTTACTTAGCTACAACTCCAGAATTCTGTACCATCAATGTACGCCATGTCTCCGAAACACACATACAGGATCCAAGTGTGGTCATCGACTTGAACTTACGTAGCTGAAGCAGAGAACTTGTACAAATCCCCCTTTGTTTATTTGGAGACTTGACCGTGACTTCTGATAACCTTGCTGGTGTAGATATAACATTTTAGTGGACACATAGAAGCTATACTAAGACCCCTTGGAGTTCAACTTAACAACAAAATACCAAGAGTACATTTTGCGAACTAGAGCAATTAGTCAGTCACCAAAGTAATATTCACCGTGATATGGATTGGCATAACACTAAGACACTTGTGAAAAGAGCAATCATATTTACGAGTGACTTTAATCAATAGGTCAAGAAAAATTAGTGGATTTCAGTGGTGCGTACCGAATCGATAAAATGTCCGAAACTCAAACCATCGGGGCTTGGAACACGATGAGGAAAGAAGGCAACTTAAACGTAAACTGACAAAGCGTCTACGCAACGACTATGAGCATTGAAAGCGATGGAAAAAGGTAGCGGCTCATACTTGTCGAATAAATGGGGATTAAAAATCCAGGAATTGATGACTATTTCTAGAAGTGATGGGACAATGATCCACTCAACTCAGGAGACTGAAACGATGAACAAAAACCTTTGAAGAATAGTTTAACTGCTCTCCAGCTATCCATTGGTTGCCTACTTTTACTAAGCAACTTGAAAGGGATGTAAATATAAAACACTCAACTCTTAATGAAATAGAAAAAACTGTAGCTAATCTAAGGCGAGAGAGAGTAGCAGGACCTGATCGACTAACCCCTGAGATATTTCAAGTTGGTCACCCAGTTTTAGATAAAAGATTGACTGAAATCTTAGTCAAAATCTGGGAGCTGGACATAACCCCGTCTAATTGGTCTCGGTCGCTGATCGTCCCAGTCTATAAGGACAAGAATTCTCTGCTGACAACCATAGACGAATCAGTCGGACTAACAGTGTCCAAAATATTGGCCTCAATAATCACCCAACGCTTAGATAGGACTCGTGAAGAGCGAACTCGGGAAAATCAAACTGGATTCATATCTGAATGTGGATGTATACACCAAATATTCACTATTCGGCAGATTCTGGAACACCGATATAATTTTCGACATCCGACTATAATTCTATCCCTTGACCGCACAAAATTAACCGATGTATTCAAGGTAGTTCAACTGTCACAATAACTACAAACCATTGTGATAAATATGCATTAAAACTGTAAGCCAACTCAATTTAAAACCAAATTCGCAGAACACATCATACTAATCAAATCGTAAACTAACCATCAGATTCTTCCATCCCGGATCTTTTGTCAAACGGGTATATATATACCCCCTTAAAGCAACAGCCAAACGTGCCATAAATGGTGTTCCTGGAGTAATACAATTGGAGTCAAAATGTTCTTCCTTAGGTGGTGGAAGATGTGCCCCTCTTGCAATTAGTTCATTCCTTAAACGCTCAATAGTTATTCGTTTTTCTTTCGCCTCTTGGGCCGCTCGAAAACGTCTGGAGCGTTGTTGATTCATTTTAGCACGTGGAGCCACTCCATCGATGGCCATATACAATACTCGTCTAGGGCGCACAATAGCAAACAATCTATCTATGTATTCGAAAATAGCTAGGAACATTTCCGACTCCGTTTTTGGAGCTGGTTTGTTTTCTGGATGCGTACATGGATGGATAATACCGTTCATATCTAAATATAGATTGTCGAATTCTTCTCCATTTGGATTCGGCTCCGACGTATCTACAGGTGATCTATTGCCATCATCATCCAAAATAGCTCCACGTTTCTCTGCACAATGGGTAACAATTGATGGATATTTCATACTCAGCCATCTGAAAAAAGCTGGAACACCCATGATTGACTAACCTGCAAAAAAAGATGATTGCCGGGAACAAACTGATCTGATACAAATTTTAAGATGAATCACTTCACACTCGTTTAGTACGCAAACGCAACACAATCAATGAGTAACGGGTTTGAGCCCCATTTACCAAAGATACAAAATCTAATGAAAAATACGAAACCACTTAAATTCACAGCCTTGGGTAATCATGGTAAAACTAGATAGAAGTACGGTGTCAATGGGTTTAACAACAGCTGACAGACGGTTGGAGTGACGATTTTAACCTGATCAGATGGGACAAAAAGGGTTTAGTGTTATAATTCTCTTTCTATTACAACTCGGCTATTTCTATTGCTTAGTATTCTTGGACACTAATTCACTCGACAAGTCTCCAAATCAGAACACGGTTGATCAGGAAAGAAATTATATTCCAAATAACAAGAGTAGATGAAAGTAAGAAGCACAATAAGAAGACCGTTAGTGTATTTATAGTTTATACACGAGAGAATTCTAGAGACTTTTCCAAGTATCGACTAGCGCTGATTAGTTAAGAATTAGTCAATCAGCACGCACCAACGATCACAATGGCGTTGGTGCATACACTCTCTGTCTTTCCTTAAACAAAGTGATTAAAATCGCTTCATGACTTTCTTTCTACGAACTAATTCTTTCTTCCTGTATTATGTCCTTATACACAATCTTTCTTTTACATACTACTACCTTTGATGTGACTACTTCTATGAATCCGGTGTTCATCTTGTTGTGCTAATGCGGTATGGCAACTTGGACCGATGCATATATGTGCCTGGTCCTACGTTGCAGCTGACTGAACGAAATCGTGCATGAAATATGCCTTAATCCAATCTGTCCCGCTGACACCTCCCATTTAAGCAGCTTCGTAGGATCGGGGCTATGACCCAACTGCAAACAAGTGACTGGCCAGTGCTTTCGATTTGTTCATCGTCTAGGCAATGAAGTTGTATTACTCATTGCTTGCACAGAAACTGAACTGTCTATTCCAGGAGTTTTGATTTCAAAGATGTCTAGCAGAACGTCAAGAGCTATTCTATATTGAGTCTCGTTGCTAGTTATCGAAGTTGTTTTCAATTGGTTAGCATGACGTACCCAAACTTTTGAGCCAACTGACACCTCATAAACCACATTCCCTTTCTTTTGCACGATCAAACCAGGGTGTTTTCCACGATAGTCCATAGCAAGTACTTTTTGACCCACCGTGAACAATCGTCTTTGTACTCCATAGTGTCGATTGAACTGCTTCTCCATCGATACGTTTCGTTGAGGCTCAAGAACTGGCGTAGGACAGATGACACCGAAATGTGTTCGTATTTTTCTGTGAAGTAGAGCTTCTGCTGGGAAGATCCCGTTAATCGTCTGAGGGTTTAGTGTAGAGCGAGAAATAAGCAGAAACCTCTCTAGGATCTCTTCGGTGATCATCTCCCCTTTACATTTTTAAATGTACTCACAAAGCTTTCCACTTAACCATTGGATTGAGGATGGAATGGACGTGTTTGAACATGATTTATTCCGTTCTGTTGACAAAATTCTGAGAAGGTAGTGGACGTAAACTGTGTTACATAGTCATTAACTGTCAATTCTGAGACTCCGGAACGGCTGAAAAGTTGACGCAGTTTACTGTGCAGCTTGCAGTTGGTTGTTCCATGAGAAAATTTTCTGGCCACTTGCTGTATGCACTATCTACCAGAAAGTAAGTTTGTCTATGAAGTGTGCCAGCAAAGTCCAAGCGTATATGCTGCCACAGTGACTGTGGTATTGGCCATGATTGCGACTCTGCTTTTTGCATTGCTTTTGTTGCTAATGCACATTTGGTACACGAACGGGACAGATGGTCCGGTTGAGTGTTTAAATGCGGCTAGTATACATAACTTCGTGCTAGTGCTTTAATGAGATTTATTCTAGGATGTCCTACGTGCAACTGTTCAAGCACTGCTGGTTGTAGCTTCTTTGGGATTGACATGTTCAGCAAACAGAAGGCAGTCGTCGATGATTAAGTCTACGCTGGTAAAACTGTTGAAGATCTGTAGAGCTGATTTCCGAAGGCCACCCTTCAAATGGAACTTTTTAACTTCTTGAAGGATTGGGTCTCGAAGAGTTTCTTCTCTAATTATGTTCATAACCAAACAATCTCAAATTGAGTTGCGCCTCGAATGTCCACCACATTTATCTTGTTTGGTTTTGGATTGTAGCCTAAGTTTTTTTACGGGTGAATTACCAACCGATAAAACAAGATTATCTATATACATCATAGCGATTGGTATTCATTCTATTAATTTGATGTACCGAGCAGAACTACGTACGTTTATACATCTCAATCGATGTACTATGAATTTCATGACAGAGGAAAACTAAAGACAAGATGTTTGTAGGACTTTTTTCCACAGTTACTTTATTCAATCACTTTCTATAGTGCCCTTTAACCAGTCTGTGTGAAGCTACAGTTGAAATGAATACAGAATGGCTTTCGAATCGACTTTTTAAATAGAATTGTGATTAGTAGAGGAATGACATTTAGGGAAAAAAACAAAAAAACATGCCGAATATCAGATGCAGAAAATAAATTACGGAACAAGAAACCGGTAAATATTGAAACATCTTGTCGACCATAATCATAGTGTCCCACCAGATATATCTTTTAAGATCATCTAAACAGACAAACAATTGAGTTTGAAGTGAGCGCAAATCAATAATCTGTGTATTACAGAGGCGTTAGAAATCCCTTTTAAACCATAATTGTGTGAAAAAAGCGACAGATTCAAGCTCTGATCCTACCCACAGCCCCAACACTTGATTTTTGTATATAAGTTAGCTGTGAGTACTTTTCCGTAGCGTTCTTATCTTTTTGATGATTCGTTATTAATACTACGTAATTTTACTTTACTTTGTCTTCCTCATTGTTATGTTCCGATAAGAATAATGAATGGTAACTTTTGGGATCCATTTATGGACCATTACTATGAGTATATTTTTATCGCATAATTGTTATGTAACTAAACTGTTCATATTCATGCCCCTTTTATTATGAGTTTCATTTTGGCCTATGGACTATTGTTATACAATTTACCATTCTTGAGTTATGGCCTGTCTATCAATTACTATCTCCCACATTCACAGCCACATTTGGCTAATTCTTGTACAAATGTTGTTTCATATTTTGTGATACTGTATGGTCTGTCTGATTGGTATATAAACCCAGTATGTTTGAAATAAATCATTCGTATTACAGAGGCTGAGATTGGTGTTCTGGACTTAACTCGATGGGCTAGACAGGAAGTGAGACCAATAAGGACTCTAGACTGCCCGCACGTGTTTTATGCGTCACTGGTTTGATCGATAATTCACTGCTCTCTGATTGGCGGTATCGATGAGTTATACAATAAACAGGGCACACAGGCCACGAGTTATAACACTCATATATGCCAAGTTAGCAATTATCTCTCTTGTCAATGGTTACTCAACCCTTTTTTAACGCTTGGAGTTTCAGAATAGCTTATTAAACATTGCGCTCCCTATTCTTTAACAAGCTATTTTATTTGTTGTACAACTTGAGTAAATGTTGAAAAAAGTTTCTTCACTGGTCTTCTATTTCTCTTCAATAACGCAATGGGTTAATTTTGTAACATGATATTTCGATGTCCATCTGTTGGTAGACTACACCAAGGTCAAACTGAGTGATGGATGTCCAAAACACAAATCAACTGATTCCCTGTTTAGTTGTAAGCGTAAATACCAGTAAGTGATCACTAACTAGTCAGTACTGTTCAGTTGAAGTCGGATATCTGAAGTCACATTCTCCAAGGATATGCTTTTCAATGAAATCCTTAAATGTGAGATTGCTGTTAGATGTCAACAAATATGTATGTACTCCCGAATTCTATGTGAGGTAAATTAAGTTAGTATTCTGATGTCTAAACCTTAAATCTAGCTGTTTTTCTCTAGTTCAGTGGTTCCGTGTCACGGTTAAGCCAGACAGTCACAAGATCTTGAGAAGTATGTTAGTAAAGATTCAGTCAGGCATAATAAACGTAAGACCTACCGCATACATATATCAGCTTAAGTGGCGACATCAAAACCCAGCATCACGAAACAAAATGAATAAGATAAACCGCGAAGATGTGTTAAGATTCAGAAATAAATGTAATAGAGCGTAAAACAGTAGTAAAACTCATGATTCAGAGAAATAAAGGGTACATATATATGCGTCAATGTGGACGATTCTGATGTATACTACGTAAGGTCTAAAACTAATGGTCGAGATTAATTACTACGCTTCTCACTGGCTAGGGATGATTCATGTAATTTTTGACTAATATTTATAAGCAGTAAGATGCCTCTTCTATCTGAATAAAATTATTTTACCCCTGACCTCATTAAAACTAGTTCATCATACATCTTTGCTTTTTCATGTATTAATTGCATTTATTTCCCTATCCATTACTATATTAAGATGTACTCGACTAACAGCCATACTTTACGTATGAAAACTGATGATATCAGCAAAGCTAAACTACACTGATGATCTCGAGTCAACCATTCAGATCTAGGAAAGCAGATCTGAATAGTTGACTCCAGAAAGAAAGCAAATATCTCCATCGATCACTGTTGGCGAGAGGGGCCAGCTAGAAGACTGTCGCTTTTTCCGAAACACGTGTATAGACACACATAGCACATACTTGTCTGCATCTTCAGTCAGTCAGTCAGCTACAACGTAGGACCAGGCACATATGTGCATCGGTCCAAGTTGCCATACCTCATGGATGCAGGGAAACACTTTCAACTGGTCTTCAGTCGCATTTCAGAATCTGGGAGCTGGACATAACCCCGTCTGATTGGTCTCGGTCGCTGATCGTCCCAGTCTATAAGGACAAGAATTCTCTGCTGACAACCATAGGAGAATCAGTCTGACTAACATAGTGTCCAAAATATTGGCTTCATTAATCACCCGACGCTTAGCCAGGAGTCGTGAAGATCGACCT